ACTTGGTTATGAAAATCCACGGTTACCCGCTCCCACTACCACTCGGGTATCTCTGGTTGTTGTAGTAAAACCGAGGGCTTCTAGTATTCTACCTTGACCTTGGTGCAAGTTAGGCACTTACCCACAGAGGTATCAATTTTTGCCTTCATGTTTTGCCACCAATTAAGTTTCTTGAGGTCCAGTTACATCTTGTACGAACCGGGATGAACAGAGTATCGAGTCTTGTGAGCCTCGTCTTTGACAACATCTCTAAATCCACCAAACTTCAGTGTCCAGAACCGATTCATGAGATAAATAACTTTGTCTCCCTTGACTTCTAGATTTTTATCCATTCCTCTTAAGGATTCACCTACGACATTTTCAGGTTTCAAGGCTTCCAGCTGAGCCTCTTTGTTCTGCATGGATAGGTGTGAATGGATATTCATGGTTAATTATTTTACTCGGCGACCCGAGTATTCCTTTCGGCTCAGAGCATCTACTACTACGTTGGCCTTTCCTGGATGATAACGAATCTCACATTCATAATCATTTAGTAGCTCTACTTATCGTATTTGCCTCATGTTGAGCTCTTTTGGTTGAGGATGTGCTAGATACTTTTATGGTCCATGAAGATTGTGCACTTCGTACCATAATGGTAGTGCCTCCAGATTTTCAAGGAAAATACTACTGTTCCCAGTTCGAGGTCATGTGTTGTGTAGTCAATATCATGAGTATGTAGCTTCCTTGAGGCACATGCAATGACCTTTCGTCGTTGCATAAGTACACAGCCTAGCCCTTGTTTGGACTTATCGCAGTTGACCACAAAATCTTCTGTCCCTTTAGGAAGAGACAGGATCGGTGCACTGCATAGGGCTTGCTTTAGTGTTTGGAAAGCAGCTTTTTACTTCTCTTACCAATTGAAGGTTACACCTTTTTGAGTCAAGGTGGTGAGGGGTTTAGCGATCTTGGAGAAGTTGTGTATGAACCTTCGATAGTAGCCAGCGAGGCCTAAGAATTAACGGATTTCTGTAGGTGTTCTTGGTTCTGCCCAACTTTCGATCGCCTTGATCTTGGAGGATTCCACTTATATCAATTCATTGCTAACCACGTAACCAAGGAAGTCCACTTTCCGTATCCATAACTCACATTTTGAGAAATTCACATAACTTTTCCATCCTTAATGTCTCTAATACTTGTAGTAGGTGTTGACTATGCTCTTCTTCACATCGCGAACAGACCATAAGTCATCGACGAATACAATCATGAACTTGTCTAAGTAAGGCAGGCATATGCGGTTAATTTGGTACATAAACATTGTGGGTGCCTTTTTTTAATCAGAAGGGCATCACTACAAACTCGTAGTGACCATAGCGAGTCATGAATGCAGTTTTTGGAACATCTTCCTCCTGGACTCGTAGTTGGTGGTACCCCGATCTCAGATCGATTTTTGAAAAATAGCTTGCTCCCCGAATTTGGTCGAATAGGTCGTCAATTCAGGGTAGGGGATATCGGTTCTTGATGGTGAGTTTATTTAGTTCCCGGTAGTCGATACACATTCGGAACTTCTTCTTTACAAACAGGACCGGTGCTCCCCAAGGTAAGAAGTTTGGTCTGATGAATCCCTTGCTTAGTAGTTTGTTCAGTTGGTTGGATAACTCCTGCATTTCAGTTGATGCTAGACGGTATGGGGATTTGGCTACATGGGTGGCTCCAGGGATTAGGTCGATTCAAAATTCAACTTGTCGCGCAGGTGGTACTCCTGGAAGGTACATGAAAGTTACAGACTTCGGGAATATCCTTGATGTATTTTACCTCCTGATTTTATCCACCACGTGAGCTAGAAAGGCATGGTATTCCTTGCATAGATACTTTTGAGCCTTGATGCAAGAGATGATTTATAGCTTTGCATCAGGTTTGTCGCTATAAATGCATAGGGTTTCATTACTTGGTAGATTAAGTTATATGGCCTTTTCCTAACACATGATATCGGTGCGGTAAAGACTTAACCAATCCATGCCAATAATGACATCAAAGATTCTTACAGTGATCAACAATAGATGGATTTGGAAGGAATGTTTGATTAGGGTTAGAGTGCATCCAACATACATATCTTTAGTGCTTTTAATTTTACCATTTTCCATTTCTACTGTGAACATCTCGTTGAGTGATGGTGATTTTTGATTGAGTATGTGTTTAAATTCTTTACTTGCGAAACTCCTCTCTGCTCCACTATCGAAAAGTATGCATGCATATGAATTATTGAGGAGAAATGTATCGGTCACCACCGTGGGGTCCTCAACTGCTTCTAACTTCGTTCCAATTGATAAGATTTTCATCTAGATGACATCACGTTGTGCATTATGGCCAAAAATCTTCCCACACCGCTGGTATTAGTGTTTCCTGCCTTTGGGCACTCTCTTTTAAAATGTCCGGTCTATCCACAGTCGTAGCAAGCTCGGCTTACCCCGACATTGGTAGCCTGGGTGATTTGTTGTGCTGGCGCCTTAGAGAAACGAGCGACACCCCCCTTTCTGTTGCAATTATTGTAGAGCATTTCCCGGTAAGCGCCTGTATGGTGAAAGTTGCACTTGTTGCATTTGGGTAGGTTCCCGAAATATTGTCTAAATGATGTTGGAGCGGCAAGGGTAGTGGCAGTGTGAACAACAACAATTTGTTGTTACTCGGCGGGGTCCTGTGTTGGTTGGTTCTTCTTTTTGTTCCAGAACTTTCTTTTATTATTGGCCCCTTTTGTTTACTCAGGAGCGGGGGCCATTATGCCTTGGCGGACTCCGTGATCGATGAGTCTCTGGGCCTGATGATTTATTGAATCGAGAAATGAAAACAAAATTATAGTAATGAGAATTAAGAACACAAGGAGTAAATAAGATATTGTTTCAGCTCATATTATGCTTCACAATTATAGAGAGAAAATAGACAAAACATACTCCAAAGTTCTAATCTATCTCTAAGTAACAACTCCTATTTATAGGAGAAAAGTAAAGCATACAAAAAATACTAAGGACTAAGCATCTAGACTTCAAAACATAAATGCCTTAGTAAATAGATAAAATACTATTCAAAACAGCTCATATAGACTTCAACACATTACAACATATTTGACACTAACATTCTCCCCTTTTTAATAAGTGTCGAAGTTAATTGATCAAAACTTGAGCACCTTTATGTAACGTTTTCCGAACTTCAGCATACCAATTCATGATCTTTCTCATTTCAACTTTATCCCCTTCCGAGTTCTTCTTACAGTTATTCTTATGAACAATTAAGTTCGTATATTAAGCTGTTGTGTACCTTTCTACATCATTTTCTTGAAATAAAAACTTTGACTGTTTTCCATTCTTACCCTTCCAAACAAAAACTATCCCATAAGGCTTTAAGCATATTTCACCATCATCATATGCTATCAGTTCGGCTTTTCTTTTCACCAATGATTGAGGTACTGCAACTTCTTTTCCTACATAACTAATTCAATATCAATCAAAGCTATATAATCATAATAATTGTCTATGAAAAGCTTAAGATGCCCTGACCCCAATCTTAATACTTCTTTGCTGGTTCCATGAAGCTTTGAAGCATCTGACTCCTTGAGAATGTATGGAACTTGAATAAGATCATTCAAGTTCATCAATGGAAAATCAGCAATTGACAAATTACAAGTAACCTTATTTGCCCTTACAACATGATATCTGAAATTTTGAAGCATATTCTCAAAAAGTTCATCCTTCGTCACACTTATTATTTGAACAGTCTTCACTAGTGACCAAACTTCCTCCTGCTCTTTCCCCAAAACCACATGAAATCTTTGCTTCATGTGCGTAAAATCATCTGGATTTTTGAATCTATCAACAATCTTGTATTGAGCAGTAATGAACATCATCTCATTCATTGGGAAATCTAGTTGATTCATTTCGGAATTTTCGATGGAATAACTTTTTCTAGGCTTCTTCTTAAAATCATGCATTTCGTTATATGCTACCCTTGCTTCAATGTTTTCATAACTATGTAGTTTTCTTGGATCTCATTGTTAAGATTTGGAGGATCATTCTGTCGAAGTCTCAAAATACTTTGAATTTTTCTTTGCTTTTCCATCTCAGCCTAAACCTCAACCTTCCTTTCTTCTTTTGATTTTTCAATAATAAACTTTTTACCTCTATCTTGTATTGTTGGAATTTCTTTGGGTTTCGAAGCACTCCCTTCTCCACTTGATCCAATCACATTGCTTTTTAACAATTGCCTTGTAGTTGTAACAGTTGAAATCACAGGGTTAGCTTTCGAAATGATTGGTTTTGTGGTGGGAATGTTTTTTGTAAAGACTTTACCAACAATTTCAGCTTCTTCACCGGTTTTTCCAAAAGCTCCTTCACCAACATACTTCATTTCTCCCCCTTGCACCCTGTGACAATAGGCAGGGAATTTGTTAGTAGAAAACTGGCAAGCTGAGTTAATTGGGCTAACTGTTTATGAAGAACAGATTTTAATAATTGAAACTTTTGAGACAAAAATTCTGGAGTGATCAAAGGAGAAGAACCTTGCTTCGAAACAAGTTCTTTTAACTCATGCAGCAACTTGTGGATTTCTGAAAAACTCTGAACTTCATCTTTGGACATTTGTTTAACCTTGGGACCAATGACTTCCTATAACTTGACAAATTTTTAAATTGCATCTGTAATTATGTCCATTTTCAAATTTAAAGAAGCATAGTCCTGTTGACGATCTCCTTGCTCATATCCTCTCGTAATTCTTGAAGCTCGAATTTCACATCCTCCCTTACCTTCTTAACATCTTAAATGAATAAGATATGACGTTCTTTGGCAACATCTTTCAAATCTTGAAGGTAAGAAGAGAATGTAGATAACTGATTCTTCACACGCTTCTCATTATTTCTATCAATATGAGAAGTTGCCTCTTGAAGACGACCGACTTGCTTTTTGAGAAAAAGATCAGCTTCCAGACTAGAGACAAAATCTTTACCTCCTCCATCAGCTAGAATTTGTAATAACGAATTAAGCTTCTGATTCAGGATTTTGAATTTTTTTCCCAGTGAGTATCATATTGTCTGGAATATTCTCCTCTTCAGGATCAAATTGAATATCTCCAAAGGTTCCACCAAAAACACTCTCATCATCATCAGATGAATGATGTGCTTCCTCATGAGTACCCGGTAGTTCGGTAGATTGTGAAGAAAATAAGGAAGTAATTGGTTGGTTGAGAATATTATCGAAAGTGGGTGAATTTGTGTCAAGAGAAGTGGTAACAAAAGAAGGTAAAGTGGTGGAAGTATCTATGGTGGAAGTTTCAAAAAGAGAGGAAACAATGATAGGACTACCTTGAGGTCGTGTAGTTTGACAATTGTCACCAAGGAAAGAGAAACAATGAGTGGTTCTGGTTGAGATACTTGCGAAGATACAACCAACATTTCGATAATGGAAGTATCTTGAAATGTTCGCACTGGAGGATACTTAAGAATTTCTTCTTCTGTTGATTCATCATTGATCACCAGCTTTCGAAGTTTCTTTTTCTATTTCTTTGAAATGTGTTTTGCCATATCTTTGGCTTTACGCTTCTTTGATGAAGGTGAAATAGGAAATGGAATTCCTCAAAGCACCACACCTTTCCTTGTAACATGTGGTTTGTGAATCATGGATGGAGAAATACTTGGAGATCTATTATATGAGCTTGATGACTTGTGAGCAATCTTCTTGAGTCTCTTGAACACTCCGGTTTTCAAAGGAACCACCTCCTTTGGAGGTTCATCAGTCTTTGGTGCAACAGGTGTTTCCTTAGGTTTCGAAACAACGACTTCTTTTGTTGGTTTCTTCTTCGGAGATTTTGATCTTTTCTTCTCCTGAATGGATTTTGTAGGACTCTCCTCCACCTTCTTCTTCCATGATCTAGGTTGGGGCAAGTAGTGTTTGCCCTCAAGATTTAGAGAATTTATATGCATAGGGTCCGGTGTACCGTCTACGCAGATGACAAGAGTTTGAGGTATCTCATAGACCAACCAAACCAGAACATGGGGCATTGCATGTGGCTTGATGTGGTCAAGGATTATGACTGCAAGATCCTTTACCATCCGGGTAAAGCGAATGTGGTGGCGGATGCTTTTAGACGCAAGTCGGCTGGATCTTCAGATGGGGATATGTGTATAAGGATATCCATTGATTCTGTACTTTTAGGTTTGATCATAGTGGCACAGGCAGAAGGTCCCGGTTTCTGATGGGGTCCAACAGACAGTTATGGAAAAGGCACATAAGTCTCACTTTTCGATACACTCAGGAGCTACCAAGATTTATCAGTATTTGAGACTAAGTTACTAGTGGTCGTGTATGAAGAGGGAGATAACATGGTATGTTGCTATGTGCTCGACCTATAGAATGGTCAAGGTTGAGCTCCAGAGGCTGCATGGCAAGCTGCACCCTGTAGAAGTTCCCATGTGGAAGTGGGAACAGATCACTATAGATTTTATCTCCAAGCTACCAAGGACTACCAAGTGTTTTGATGCTATCTAGGTCATCATCGATCGATTGACCAAGAGTGCCCACTTTTTGGCCATCCGGGAGAGCTCCTAGGCCGAGAAATTATCCGATGTGTATGTTCAGGAAATTGTTGCTCATCATGGGGTTTCGGTTTCCTTTATATCAGATTGAGATGTTAAGTTCATTTCACGATTCTGGCAGAAGTTCCACAAGGAACTTGGTAAGAGGTCGTTTTTTAGCACTGCTTATCATTCGCAGACTGACTGTCAAAGTGAGCAAACCATCTAAAAACTTGTGGATATGTTGTGGGCTTGTGTCATAGATTTTGGTGGGATTTGGGATTCCTACCTACCTCTCAAAGAGTTTTGCTATAAAAACAGCTATCGCGGTAGCATTGGTGCACCTCCTTACGAAATTTCATATGGTCGGAGATGGTGAACCCTAGTATTTTGGTGGGAGGTCGGTTACAGAGTCATGAGGAGGACCAAGGGATTCCTCCAAACCACATAGCTTATCCAGGAGATCACACAGAGATTGCAGACATCTTAAAGTCAACAAAAGAGCTATGCGTCCAACGTCGATCAGAGTTGGAGTTCAAGGTTAGCAATATGGTGCTACTAAAGGTCTCACCCGGGAAGAGTGTGATATGCTTTAGGAAGAGGATAAGTTGGGTCCTCAGTATATTAGACCGTTCTATGTGATCACCACTGTAGGAAAGGTGTCCTGTTGATTGAATTTTCTGAGTGAAGTCAGTCAGATCCACAACACTTTCCATGTTTCATAGTTGTGTAAGTGCATGTTAGGCGATGATGTAGTGGTCCCGTTGGTTGATATTCAGGTCGATGAGCGCCAGAATTATATTGAGAGGTTGGTAGCGGTAGTGGAAAGAAAGATGAAGGTCTTATGCAACAAGGAGATACCTTTGGTAAAGGTTCAGTGGCAACATCAGAGATGCTCCGAGTCGACCTAGGAGCCGGAGGCGGAGATGCGGGAACATTATCCTGAGTTATTCATAGCATCTGACTTCAAGGACGAAGTCTAGTTCAAGTGGGGGAGAATTGTAACACCTATTCCGAGAAGGTACATATTTCACTCTAAAATTTAAAAAGGTTGGAATTTTTAGTCTGTATGTCGAACGTACTCGGGGTGTATGCATGGCGTACTCATGCATGAAGGAAGCGGTCCTTGCACGCGTACGCCTGGCAAACTCCTTAGGTACACAACGTGTACGCTGTTCAGACCCAAAACCCTAGTTTGAGTGTTTGCACACAATATAATCCTCTTTATGGCCCCAATACCTTCACCCTCATCAGCCTCCACCTAAAAATTATCCCTCTAACTAACCCTAAGTGAGAAGAGCGCATTTTGAGCTCATTTGTGTGTTTTAGTGGTGTTCTTGAAGAAGAAGGAGGAGGAGGTAAAAGGACCTTGGAGCTTGGAAAAAGCTTGGATCTTGGATTCTCTACTTGCTAGCAACCTCCAGGAGGTAAAATGCTCATAGCTTGATGTAACATCCCAAAAATAAGACCAAAAATTTTCATTTTTAAATTTTAATAAAATGGTAATTTCAAACATTGTCATACAACCAATATAGAACAAAGTATGTCACTACATTGTATCATATCATAGAAAATCCTAGAATGCGGAATAAGGTGGTGTGTGCACTACAATTATCCCAGGCTCTTCCCTTTTGAAACAGAAGTACATGAAACATAAACTGAAAACCGTAAGCATATAGCGTAGTGAGTTCCCCAAGATACTCTATAACATACATAATATATATATATATATATATATATATATATATATATATATATATATATATATATATAAGGTTAGGTTCATTTGAGACCACCTATATTTTGTGAGACCGTGAGACGCATTTTTTTATTTTTTTTTTATATTTTTTTTAGTAAATTCATTTTCCGAAAATAATATTTAATTTTTTTTATTTTTCCATTTATTTTGCATTTTAAAATTATTTTTATAATATGTACAGTGTAATGTTCTATTTAGAATATTTCACGTATTTTTCAAAAAAAAATAAAACTTTTTTTTTTATTTTTATTTTTTTTAGTTAATTCAAATTCCGAAAATAATATTTAAAAAAAGAATTTTTAGATTTTTCCATTTATTTTGCATTTTAAAATTATTTTTTAGAATATGTCAGTGTAATATTCTATTTAGAATGTTTCACTTATTTTTCAAAAAAAAAACGGAATTTTTTTTATTTTTTTTAATATTTTTTAATATTTTTTTTAGTTAATTCAAGTTCCGAAAATAATATTTAAAAAAAGAATTTTTGGATTTTTCCATTTATTTTGCATTTTAAAATTATTTTTAGATTTGGTCTCACGGTCTCATAAAATTAGAATGGTCTCAAATGAACATGAACCTATATATATATATATATATATATATATATATATATATATATATATATATATATATATATATATATATATATATATATATATATATATATATTAGAAAAATGGAATATCCAAATTCATTAACGTGATAAGAAAAACGTAATTTATAGAATATATTAAATTCCAATTTCCGGAATAATTTTTGTGAAATTTAGGACAAAAATATCCCTTAAAAGAAGCTTATCTTCTTTGTATTTTATCTAAACACCAAATCAAGAATATCATGAATTTTAGGTGTCTTTTGTCTTTTTAGACAAATGCTTAGATTGGTTAATGTATAATGTGTATATATATTCTGTATTTGTAAGATTTTAATATTGTGTTTTTGTACTTTTTGTTAAATGTAAGACGGGTAGTTGATATTTGGGTAAGAGGTTTTTTTTTTCTTCCTTTTTTTTTTTTTTTTTTTTTTGTAGTTTTCTTGAATAGTATATATATATATATATATATATATATATATATATATATATATATATATATATATATATATATATATATATATATATATATATATTTGGGTAAGAGGTTTTTTTTTTCTTCCTTTTTTTTTGTAGTTTTCTTGAATAGTATATATATATATATATATATATATATATATATATATATATATATATATATATATATATATATATATATATATATATATATATATATATATATATATATATATATATATATAGAGAGAGAGAGAGAGAGAGAGAGAGCAATTGAATGAGGTCCTAAAAAATGGTTTTATATTTAAAGGTTAGGTATGCATGTATGGAAACAAAAAACTAGCCATTTTTTTTTTTATGACTAATTTTTTTTTTCTAAAAGAAATTCTGGATATACTAAAAACCATAATTTTTTGTATTTTTTTCATAGACATACATATTAATATATAAAAAACAAACTTTTAATAGGAAAAAAACCTCTTTATTTTGTTATTTTTATAAATATTGACATTTATTTTTTATTGAAAAAAATAAAATAAATATTTTGAAATTTATAATGTTTTATACTCTTTAAATAAACATTTGTATCTTTGTAAAAAAGAGTAATTTTTGTTACTTTGCATGTTAGATTCACATGTGAAACACATTCACAATATGAATGTGATCTACATATAATTTTATTTTTCATATTCATAATATGAATCTGAATTACTATTTTAATATTTTTCATTATTCACAAATTAATTTGAGACAAAACTTCAAAAATGATCCATGTGGTTTCCGAAAATATCAAGTTTAATCCTTAAGTTCAAAAAACCTTATGGATTGTCCGTGTGGTTTCAAAACTTTTAACAAATGGTCGTTTTCGTTAACTCCGTTAACTTTTGGCCGTTAAGTGATAGATATTTTGGTCATTTCACTACCACAATGACCATTTATGAAGTTTTGTCTTATTTAAAAAATTTATTTATTTATTTTTTTCTTTAATATAAAGGGGGCCCACCCACCCATCTCTCTCTCTCTCTTGTATGGATGGATGAGTGATCAATGTTTGACTGAAAAAGTCAAACTTGGATCGAGACCTTTCTTAATTGCTCAAGACACCACCTATACTTCTTGCACAATCCTTCTCACATCTGGTTCTGGTTCTTCTGCCAATGGAAATCATCAATTACCACTTGCACCAAATAATAATCGTATGAAATCGAGCTATCAAACCTGAAATCAAACTCAAAACCATACCAAAATAATACATGGAATCAAAGCTCGGAACCAAACCTTCTAATCAAAATTGTAACCGAAAACAATACACATCCAAACCACAGAAGATGAAACTCGCTTGACACTTTGATGAATATCCTCTCTCTTATCTTAATCTCATGAGCTATTCAGCAACAAAGATGAAAGAAAACAACTTATATGATGAACTTGAACAGTTACACATGTCTTCCACTTCGTTCAAGAATTTCATGAGAAGAAAACCATTAACCAAAACAAAACACCAAATATACACCATCAAAAATCTGTAGACGAATCGATATACTAAATCTGAGCTATGGTTCTCACCTTGCAGATTTTAGGGATAACAGATTTGGGTATGTG